GTGAAGTTCAAAGTTTTAAGCAAAGGAAATTCTTCTTTCCTGTGTTTCAAATTCTTAAGCCTGCTAAAAAAAAAAAGCTTTATTAACACTTCTCTCTGTTTCAACATTTTTATTTAACGTACAAGCGATTTTAGTTGTGCACAGACATTAGCGGACATCATGAGTGTCATAACCATTCAATTTTCAGGGTGAAAGGATGGCACAACATACAGTTTATAAATATTTAGATATATTAATTTGGAACGCAAGTTTGATTCTGTGGATTTTCTAGAACCAGAATTATATTCATACACTCACACTGATATATTAAAGGTATATTAGCAAGGTGCTAAAACAAAGTACGCTTTTGTAGCCATTAACGAGATCATAATGCTGGCTTGATATTTAAACAACTTTCTATGGTTGGCATCTTAGCTTTTCTATGAACTCTACCAACGCTGCCAGGAAGAAGGACTATCCGACTGTTGTTTTTAAAACCACTGCATTTGTATGTTGGATTATCATCAGTGTACCATAAAAGGACTGGTGAAAAATCAGCCTGAAAAGCCAATTTAAAATGAATATATTCTGAGGATTCACAGGGGAACTAGAGCAATGACAGAAAACACATTCGGTGTAAAAGTACGATCATGGCTTTATGTCTGCATTTTTGTCCAAGTTATTTATACAGCTTGGTTGCAAAACCTTAAAGCTGAAGGGATAGGTTCATTGCGTCTAATTTATGTGAATCAGTTAACCTTTAATATTTGTGATTAAGTTAATTAATTGGAAAAAAACAAACAAACAGTGTGATTTGCTCACACTGGCAATAAACATGGTATTTAATAATACTGTTGCATGATATTCTCATCTTTTTTCTCCAGTCACATACATCACTGCATGTCATGTAAGAATTAAACATTTAGCTGGAAAATATTTTTTCACCCATGGATGTGTTTTACACTTGCAAACTGATTATCCTTAAAGAATATTCGTGGTTATTACTTCCAACTTCACAATTATTCATTTTGACCTGTGCCCTGATTACATCAGAACTAATAATTGTATTTGCATCCTCTGGGCATCATCCAAAAACATCTAGTTCACAAGTAAACTGCTCGTATTGTTATCGGAGCCCCCGTCACTGCACGCTTCTTTCCTACAACTCGGTTACGTCCCAATTATTTACCGATCTCATGGTTTTGTCTAATACCTCTTATGTTCTCTATGACCACAGTTCCTTTATTACATTGATATTTTTCCTCGCATGATGTCATCCTCTTTCTTTATTACTCATGTTACCATCTTCATCCTCATGTTCAGGATGGATTCTCTCTGTGGGTCATGAAAGACCAAGTTGGAGAAAGAGAGTTAGTCTTTTTTTAAAATAAATTAAAGTGCTTTATATATAAGCAAGTAGATCATGTTAAACAAATTTATGTTCAATTTTGGGGTGTTTTTATTGAAGGTAAAATGTGGAATCGTTCCTGCAAAGATGCAATGTTTAAATCCTGATTCACAAAGCACTTATTTAAATACTGGCTCAATCTATCCAGTCATTTTCTGTTTTTGAAACTCATAGGCAGACCTGCAGAAAGGAAATGAGTATAATGGTGACAGATGGATAACATGTCACAAGGGTTGAAGAGCCAATAAGCAGACTGTAAAATTAATTAGGATTTAAGCTGCCTAGTAAACGTAATTTGGTAACTTTGCAGTTTGATTGAATGTGTTTGCTTTGTAGCTGCAGCAGGATTTCTAGGTTTCTTCGTATGAATTTTATTTTGTTCTGTGTTTCAGAGCCGTCACATTGAGGCCTTAGCGACCTCTATCTCATTTGTCTTGGCACAAGTATTGGATGACATATGACAGAAAGCTCTGCCATCAATAGTGTTGCTCTGCGATGTCACCATGCGTATGTGTTCAGAAATGGGCATGGGGTCAGACCGAGCAGCCACTAGCACCGGACAATGGGTTCCTAGTGTCCATAGCTATAAATGCCATTATTCATACACATTAATAATCTCTTCTGTTTTCTCTTATAATGAGTGGCTTAATATAATGGCATTATGCGCTGTTAGTGTGTGGCCGTTGAAAACGTGAACTTTTCTGAGTATTTAAGTATCATGTGTACTTAGTGAGGTCACAGTTGAGACTGTGGGTCACTTGGTCGTGGAGACAAAGCCCTTCGCTTTTGCCACGGCCTCCCAGGGGTGAGTGAACGCTCTTTACCGGCGACTTAGGGGAGCAGATGGTTTAATCCACAGAAAAGTTGCTCTTTCTCTGGATTGCATGCTGGATTTATCTTTTTTACTAGTGATTGTGAGTAGGCTATTTTAGTGGCTTTCGGGTCAAACCTTCATTTCTTTAAGGATGCTGAGCTGAGTATGGGAGCAGCAGAAAGGTGAGCAGAAACCCGTCAACTGCGATTAGAATATTATGATATTTTCCTATAAATGTGCTGCAGGCAGGACTGCATTACTTTCACACTCTGTTTCTTTTTACCACCTTGTACGAGTATTAATAGCTGACTTAAGGAGGAGTGAGGCTGCTGCTCTTTTATTTATACATGCAAATCAGGTTTAGAGAGAAACCACTCAGCTCAGACTGTGTGAAGTCATCCTGAGGAAAATAGAGAAAATAAGTCACAGCACAGCAAACCAATGCCAAATCGGAATATTATACTAAGGCTTTGACTAGGTAACAAATAATTTCAATGTCAACCTTAATCGTCTTTATTTGGAGGCTGTTGAAGTTAACACATTTGTTCCACTTTGATTTTTGGATGTTTCTCTGCACATTGGTGTACATTACATATTCAGATCAGAATCACTTTAAAAATCATGATTGTTGCAAAAAAAAAAGACTGGGAGGCTGCTTCATAAAATTTGGTTGTTTTCAAACTGCTTGTCTCTTTCCGTTACTATGATGTAATACCTTGAACTGCACGTCTTAAAATATTAAGCTGCTCGTTTTTGTTTGTTATAACCAAAAATGGAGCCTCTCCACTTTGTTGCAAACCCAGCTGGGTACATTTTGAGATGCATGATCAGGCTTTTGCTCACCAGTCCTAACTTCTTGTTCTCTTTCTGGTCTAACCTGCAAAATTCTATTTTGACCAATTTAGTTTTTTTTAAGTTTTCTTAATGGAAGGAGCAATTTTGAATCCAATGGAAAAATAGATAAATTCCAGATTTACTCAAACAAGGTCCTTCACTGTACTTCAAATTCTCCTCTGTGGGTTTAACTGCTGATGTGTTTATAGACATGAAATAGCGGGAATTCTTAATTTGGCATGTGGCATTCTGATCACTGATTAGAGACACTATTAATGGTTTTGTACAAAAACGTAAAAACAGACAAATAGACAGAAGGCAATGCATTATCTAAAATGGTTGTAGCTCTATCAACTTGTTTCTGGAGTTTTATCCGAGATGACACTTGCAACTCCACTGCTCCATTATACGCATATTGTGTTCCTACTAATGAAGTTTCCATATGGAGCAGTTTGTTCAAGAGTTAGGCTGATGCTAACATTGTTCGTCTCTGATCTTTTGGTGTAGCTCCGGCCTCCGGTCTATCGTGTGGAGACAAAACCCACAGAAAAATGTTCTGCTTCATACCACTTTGCTTTGAATCTCTTTACAATTTAATAACTAGTGTCTGAGCTGTGGTCAGACTCAACAACAGCTGCTTAGGCATACTGAGCACAGCACTAAGAGCAAGACACCCGACAGAAAACTATAACCGCCAATACGGCCTATCTTCTCCACAGTGAAAGACATTTTAATCAACAAAAACTTTTAGATTCTTCGCGCAAACCTAGAAACATTTGCAAGCCGTACAGAAGAAACAGGCTTTTTTTTCTTAAAAACTGATTGTGCCCACATGGTTTGCTGGCTAACACTTTGGGTGTCACTCTCATAAAATCAGCCCCAAAAGCAGGTAGTGAGAGCTGAGTCTAGTTAGGACTCATGTTGGACCCATTTCAGCTCATTTTTCATTGTACTTAATTGTGTAAATGGGATGCCATTCTGTCAAATACTGTAAATTAGCTTGTAGTGTAAATATGCTATATTAATAAGTTGCTAAATAAGTTCACACTCAGCTAATTGTATGACTAATTTCAAAGCCATGCAAAGTAGTGCTAAAAAAAAGTTGAGTTTTAAATTTGATTAGAGTGTGACATCTCGACTACAAACGATCTTTGCCATATTGTATTTGTAGAAACATGACCGAGTGAGCGCTCTTAGGAGCAAACTATCTCTTACTTATTTTTCCTCTGTAACCTTGTCAACAAGAATTTGGGCAGTTAGAAGAAAGCAAACTGCTCACGAGTACTCTGTATGTACTTTATACACTTTGTACCTTGTAAAAATGTCGTCTTTGTAAGTATTTACGTGTTTGGATGACACTCAAACATCTATTGTTTTTTTCTGTGGTTGATCAAATGTAGAGCAGAGTACATAATCTTTGAGTGTAGCATTTATTCTTACTTGTGGAATTGACAGCACGTTGAAGTAGCTCTGTTACTTTCATTGCGATTTTTATTTATTTATTTAGTTTTGTTTTTTTTTTTGGAAAATCTGCCTTTTGGATGCTGGATTGTTATTTGCTATTACCTTTTATAGTTTGCACATTTGTTATGATGCGTAACCATAGCAACAAGGTAGTTTACAACAGCAGCTGATTAATTAACGTAGCAAAAGCTGGAAGAGCATCAGTAAGTTTTTGTCCATATTATTCACCAAGCGAGTTCACCAGTGTTATTTAGTAATGCATGCGAAGTCATCATTTTTCGTTGTTACCAAGCACAACATCCCAATGCATTTGTAGCAGTATCTAGTGATTTTTAATTACACTTCACCCTATGTTACACTGCCATCGCTTCAACAGTTTAACAGCCGTTCTGACACAGAAAGCAATACATTGGATTTGCATTCCACAAATGTTAAAGATTCAGATATATCTCCAAAGCAAGACCTCCTCTTGGAAAATCAGATCACAGCATTGTTTTCTCCACTCAAAATATAAACCCCTTGTTCAGAGACAACCTTTTAAAAATAAAAAGGACTGTGAGAAAGTGGTCACAGGAAGCTCAATAAGCTCTACAGGGTTGTTTTAAGGTAACGGATTGGATTGCTCTGTGCCACCGACATGAAGAAGACATTTATGGCATGACTGAGTGTGACTGATTATGTAAACGTCTGTGTGGACAACACAATTTCCACCAGAACAGTTAGATATTAAATAACAAACCTTGGGTGACCAGTCATCTGAAGGAACTGTTAAACAAGAAAAAAAAAGTCTTCAGCTTTCTTTATTAGCAAGATCTGAAGAATATTGTGTTTTTAAGTCTATTCTCCTTTCTGTTCTGGCCTCTGTTTTAACTCGTGTACTGTCGTAAATCACCTCCATCCTTATATTTTTTATATTTTCCTTTTTTTTTTTTTACAGCACAAGAAGAACACAAAAATCATCTAATACAAGCATTTCACAGAAGGACTCAAATTCCTATTCAACCATGGGAGACCAGAAGTAAGTTTCAGTAGTCATCTATTTAATCTAACATTATATTTTCCAATGACTTTCTCCTTTTGATTTAATCGCCCTTAAATTCTACAGATATTTGTTAATGAGTTTCATGTTGGTGCCAGAACTTATAAGGCATTTGTACACTCATCGTGAGTCTGGGAACACATCTGATGTTTCCAGCCCAGCAGGAAAATGTTGAAAACACCTTACAAATTGACAAGACCAAAAGCAAGTTGTGACTTGACCTCAGAGCATGATTGACTTTTTTTTTTTTTTCCGCAGAACTGTTTGGACTTGCGCACAGCCCTGCAGATATGGATTAGATCAGATCTACAGTTGAAACCAGAAGTTTACATTCACTGAATAAACAGACAATTTTTTTTTCTCTTAGTCTGTGGTTAAATCAGACCAAACTTTTCTTGTTTAAGCTTAGGTAGAATTACCATAAATATTTTTTCTCCAATCACATATTTTATTCACTGCTTGTTCTTATTTTATCTTACAAGTCAATGATCTGTTTTCAGAGGGGCTTTAGTAGACATAAATGAAAGATTTCCAGACGTACTTCTCATATTTACAGCGTGGCCAAACATACTTTTTCCGCCTGCAGAGACAACATAGACGACTTTAAAGTCCAGACAGCCAAGCACCCCAACATGAGCGCCGTCCCTCTACGGCCACACAGCGAACACTCTAAAGACCGAACATCCAAAAGGCTTTCGACGGAGTCTAATGGGACCAGTGATGGAGGTATGGGCTCGTCCACACCGGTGGAGATCACCGCTCTGGAAGAGTCCTTTCGACGCTTTGCCATCCACGGTGACACTCGCGCTACCGGCAAGGACATGCACGGCAAGAACTGGTCCAAACTCTGTAAAGACTGCGGTGTGATCGATGGGAAAAACGTCACCCTCACTGATGTTGACATCGTTTTCAGCAAAGTCAAGTAAGTAAGCCATAAATCTCGCGTTAAAATGAAAGCATAATGCTATCAGTGCTCTTAAATGTGACTGTTTACTCTACAACTATCTATGCCAGATCTAAAAAAAAAAAAAAAAAAAAAAAACTACAATCAGGCATGTTTGTGCATTTATTTTTGGATTCAAATGCTTTTGAAGAACTGATTGCTCCAGATCAGGGTAAGATAAAATCACTGTGAGCTTATTATAGACTAAGAAAGCTCACGGTCTTCATTAGGTGCTAAATTATCTCATCTGTTCATGTGTTCATTTAATTCAGACGAAGCTCTCCATCAGAAAGCAGCCAGAACTAAAGGCTGGATATGGCTCATCTTTTATCTCCTCAGGCTTTGTTGATTCATATTTTAACGTCTGATTTTACTGATGTAGAGTCGCTACAACAATGATTGTGACCTCAATATCGTTTGACAGCCAAAGAAAAGGGTTTTATCCGCACAGCTCTATCAAGTGCACAGGGTGCCCATAACTGATTTGTGTTGATAAACTGAATTATTACCAGGGTATTTTTTTATTTGTCTTTAGCCATAAATATGCTATTGCTAACAGCGTATGTGCTAAATAATTTAGAGAATAAAGTTTACATTTAAACATGTACAGCACAGACAATTTAACTAAATCCTGCAATGTTTAAATTTAATTAATTGTAAAGTTTCTGTTTTGATGTCTATGGAGGTCCTTATTCAAATTGAAAAAGAAAAAAAAATTGTATCCTTATGTTTCATGTTAGTTAAATGTATTATTTAGTTATTAATAGAAATGTATGATATGAACTTAAAAGTTTGAGATACAGTATTATTCTGAATAATATCAGAATAACACTAATTATTATGGTATTAGAGAGAATAATAAAAAAAGTGATAATGAAAAAATTGTACTTAGAAACCCATTGCAGTCTTATTGATAACAGGCGGTACCTGAATATCACTGCAAAGCCTGTCAAACACAAATGCTGCTCATATAAAAAACAACTGCCCATCTATATAATAATAAAAAAATAATTTACAGATTATTCAATATTACTATACCAAGACACCGCATGCATTAACTAGTGCAGTTGTATCACTAAACAGCACAATATAGACTGTATTTCATTTTAATTCTAAAGACATTGATATTTCTGTTCTCAGAACCAACAGTGGAAAAAAAAAATGGTAATAGTAACAACCCCAATACTACTATTAGTATTTTGGTAGTGAAAAAAAAAAAACTATAATCCTAAAAACACCTGGCTTTTTAAAATGTATAATTGGACTGAGTACACATCATATACCTGGATAATCTTTCTTTTTTTACTAAGAAATTAAAGGGATACATGTCAGACATGTAGCTTGATTGTGTGTTACTTTATTTTAGTCATTAATGTTTATTATATCCATGAAACGTAACCTTTGCCCTTCCTCACTGTTGCATCAAGTCAAAGCAATTTTTGTTGTTTTGAGACACCTGCAATGACACCATCTCCGTTGGCATGGGAATGATTTTCTTGGCAAGCACCAAAAAGGATCTAGTGGGTGACTGTGGAGCTTTGTTTACACCCTGATCTGTTGGCCAATACTGAGAAATGTGCCAACAACGTTCTGCAGAATCACTGCAGAAATGTAAGAAACTAAAAGCCGATTCTACGTATTTTTTTTAGGCTTGGTGGATTTGTGCTCTTTTGCATACATTAGGTCTTGCATGTAAATGTTGCATCTCAAATGCTGGGTATTATTCAGGTACACCCACCCACGGTATATTGTGAAGAATACTGAGATATGATCAGGAGATGTGTGTACAGTTCAGAGCTTCCCAGGTGAACAGAGGGGCTAAGTTTTGTGTAGTTTCTTAATCCAGGCATATCTGAGCAGGGGAAGAAGAGTCTCCATTCTTGATCTTTACACCATGAATTTATTTTTAACCTGCGTCAAAAGTTTATTTATTTCACATACACAACTAAACTCGCACTGGCTAATCGCAGTACGGCTCAGGGAATATGGCAGTGTGCTGCAAATGAAGGTCTGTCTCTGCTGTAGTTCAGGGGCAGAAAAACATAGCATAAGCCATGGGTGACAAATAAATAATTCACAATTAATTAGCATCGGCATATGACAGGGGATTTATTTTCTAGGGTTTCTCATATTTTACATTTACACCCTATTGGGCCTGATACTGCTTGGGCCTTTTAATATGTTGCCTTTTTTATTGGAGCATATTTCAATTTTATTTTTATATATATATATATATATATATATATAATATATATATATATAAACCATTTGCCATTTCTTGTAAGAAACTGAGCATGTCAGCATGGTGAAACAGAAAAGAGAAAGAGAGACATGTTGCAGAAGCAGCAGCTGAAAGTCCAGCTTCCTCCCTGACCGTAGACGGCGTGAAACAGACGCACAGGATCAGATGTTCACCACCGAGCGATCTCCAAAACAAAACCACCACCGGGTCACCGAAAAAGTCCAACTGATAGTAAAACCCAAACATTTCTTGTTTGCTGTAGTTTGTTGCTATGACAGCACGGTTGCCTGGGGAGACCGTTGGCTTTATAGGCTGTTGTTTGGGTGATTTATCTCCACAGCAATGGCTGTTTGTGTTTGTGTTAGTGTTACTAAGGGCTTTTAACGTAGAAGTGAAACGGGCAAAAGGCGAGTTAAACAGCTGAAGTGCTCTCAGAGCAGCAATGATTGATGGCCTGTGATATTTTCAAGGTGTGATCTGTTACATGGGAATTCCACACCTTCACAGATACTTGGTCTTATTCTGCATGTTCAAGTGACTGTAAGGAGGTACAATAAGAGAGAACTAATGCAAACATCAAATCTTATGTCTTTTCCCCATCTTTTTAAATATTATATGTTGTGTTTAAATCCCAATAGGATACACTGAAGTTTTACAAAATTTAACCATTTAACTGTCTGAAATGGATTATAGCTACATGCATTTTAATAGGCTTGATGTTAATTATTTTAGATTTTCAATGTAATTAGACATTTAATGGACCCATTTGTTCTTAAAGGTGTCTTAGAATGGTTCATGTTGTGAGCCTGCAAGGTGATAAAAAAAAAATTGAACTGAGCCCTTTCAATCTGTTCTGAGAGGCCTGTTGATAAAGCAAGCTTCAAAAGCTGCGGTTTTGTCGGAGCATCTTCAGATGTTTGTTATTTGAGATATCACTCTACCTTTCTTCTCTCGTTTTGTTTCAAGATAACAGGAACGTCTCATTCGTTGGAAGCAAAAATACCAAAGACATTTACATAGTCATTTTTTGGGGTTTTATGCTCACATAGTTGCAAATATAGCTTCCCCAAACTTAAACTTGGTCTCCTTCTGCGCCATCTTTTCAGGAAGAAATCCTGTCGAACCATCACGTTCGAGGAATTCAAAGTGGCACTCGGAGAGCTGGCTCGGAAGAAATACAAAGAAAAGACTGGAGAGGATGCCGAGGCTGAGGTCTTCAAGCTGATTGAGGGGAAGGCGCCGGTCATTGCAGGAGTCACGGTAAGACTTCATCCGTCACAAAATTCACGTCGGTTTCACCGGCGATCGCCGTTGTGACTCGAACGTTGTGCAAACTGCTCCGCAGAGAGCTGTGGCCTCGCCCACGGTGAGCCGCCTCACAGACACCACCAAGTTCACGGGCTCGCACAAGGAGCGTTTCGACCAGACCGGCCGAGGGAAGGGGAAGGCCGGCCGGGTGGACCTCGTCGACACTTCGGGATACGTATCGGGATACAAACATCGAGGGACGTACGAAAAGAAAGTGAACAAACCCACCGATGGCCGACCCATGTGAAGGCAAAACATTTCCTCGACCGCTTAAGATGATTTTCTACAGAGTACTCCTAGAAAGCACAAAAGAATACAAGCTCATACATTTCCCAGCCCGTTTGTTTTTATGTGTACGTCTGTGTGTAAGAGAGATTTAAAGAAAAAAAAAAAAGAAAAAAAGAAAGATGGTTTTTAAACTATTCTCTTTGTGTGAGAACTGGAAAACTGTTTACATGTATTTTTACGAAGTCATCACCAGCTGGTACATTCCTGTCTGATAGCGAGTTACTGCCAAACACTGAGAAGAACCAATGAGAGGAACTGCTAGAGCCTCTTACGATAGGGCCCCTTAATATTTAACAAGCACAATGAACAGAGTGCCAAGAACAAAAACAGAACAGTTTGATTTAAAAAAAAAAAAAAAAATTGCACTTTTTTTAATTTGAAATATTTCTATTACCCTGTCTGGTGAAAGAATGGTGTCGGGTTAAAGATGACCGGCACTCTTTCTTTCTGTTTGGCACAGATATAACTGCTGTTTGTTTCGAGAACTTTAATCCCTCATTTCATCTTCAGTGCTTTTTTTTCCCCCCCACCTGCACTTATCAATTCTGTGTTTAGGAAACCTGCGGTCCAGTTTTTAAGTTTCTTTCATAGACTCACTAAATAACGCAGAGATTCCTAAACCCATTTGAATAATGGAAACACATTATTCGTGTGCGTATTTTTTCAAGAAAATCTTGTAGGGAATGATTGCATCGGTCCAACTATCCTGGTTAGACGAAAAACATTACACCCTCAAAAAGATATCAAATTAAGTTATTTTTTTGTTTGCAAGAGTAAAATCTCACTTTAAGCAATTAAAAAAAAAAGTTATGCATCTAGCCTTTCTGGGTTTCTCTAATTTTGATAATTAGTATACATATCTAAGACCAATGAAGTAAATTAGAGGCATTAAAATCTCTGGCACAACTTTTCTACTTTATAATTCATGAAGCGTAATAAAAGACCTGCCCTTTTAATAATGGTTTTTAAACATAATTATTCTTCTGATCTTTCGGTATTTAATTATACACAAACCAACATGCATTTTAGGCAGACGATCTTCCCCCACTTGCTAAGCTCAGTTTTACAAGATTGTATTTTCAACATTTTAGTTACGTTATCTCCTTATCAGATTTATACACAGTATCTCTAATATATTTGCTTTAAGGTTGTGTATATACTCTAAACAGTTTCTGCCAATTAGCCTAATTTAAGACACTGATTTTTACGTACGCATTTAGTTTTTCTGTGTTGCTGTACCTCGTGCATGTTGTGTATATTGCATTTGATTCAGAAGCATATAGATGACAGAGGTTTTTGGGTTTTTTCTCCTCCTAAACTGCTGTGCCTGATGTGATTACAGACTACTGGTCAGACCTAAGTATTTTCTTGGTTAAAAAAAAATAAATAAATAAAATTAAGTATCGAAACTGTGGGATCATGATCAAACCTTGTATTTGCCTGCAATGACTGTATGTATTTGTACTTGTACAAAGTAAGCTGTCCTCTAATGCTACCCTATTTGTCTGTACCTTTTATTTGTGGAAGCTACTGTCATCTGAGGCACGGTAATTACCTGATGAAAGCAGGGGTTTAATGTTTACTTACATACTCTACCAGATCCAAGGGAAAACTGCATACAACAATTTTTTTGTAAAATATTTTTCCAACATAACAGTATTGTGTGTGACACACTACCTGTAGCCTCAGCTGATGAAGAATCATGCATCGAGTGCGAAACTAGCAGCTTTTTTGGTGTTAGCTTGAGTATCTTTCTGTGTTTTTAATGCCAAATATTGTGCACCTTTAATGTGGAGGAAATATTTGGGTTTTTTTTTTTTCTAAAAAAGAAAAAAACAAAAACAAAACAACTTTTCAAGTACTATTGTGCCCCAAGTGCATGCAGTGTACTACTTTTTCTTGTTCTCAATGCCTCTAAAAAGTGTGTTCTTGATTTATATTGCATTACTGAAAAATAAATAAGCAGAAAAGATATATCCGTTTTATGGCCTTTTCAGGGGTGCTTCTGCAGCGGTCGCACCATCCGCTCAGTGACCTGTAAAATCCAGATAAAAGCCGCGGCTACATTCAGCTCGCTTCTAAGGCGCTGGGCCAAGTCTCGTATGAAGGTTTGCAGGAGGAAAGTGTGCATGCGTGTGTGTGTGTGTGTGTGTGTGTGTGTGTTAGCGGCTCTCCGGGCCCGAGGCAGACATATAAATAAAGTCACAGTGCAGCTGCAGTCCTGATGCATTCAATCCACGGCAGCGTAGAAAGCAGATGGATACACGGCTGACCTAAAAAAAAAGAAGGAAAAAAAATGCAGACACAATCTTGCTACAGATCCAGGAAACACATCACGACCTTCGTAGTTTCCCCCTAAAATCATTTGTTAACATAACAGCCCTGACACACTCTTATATACAAGCTTTCATGAATGAATTGCAGTTCTCTTAACTGTTTATATCAAGAGGACACCCCATATATAATCATTCAGAATAAAAGGACACTTCATTAAAATGCGAGCGGACTGTACACAATGCAAATGGCCTGACCTGCAGCGGCTCAAATTACGCAGAAAATGACAAAAATGCTGTACCTATTGCTTATATGAAGCTTGGCATAATTCTGCTTTGACACGCAATCCTGGTGTCCCAATATGGCTTTAATGTTCCGCGGCTGTCCGAAGCTCGGCAAGCAAACATTCGTTTGTAGCCACCAGGGACCTGCAGTATAAACACAGACAACAAATCACACAAAAAAGAACCCAGCTTTGCTACAGTATTCCCAGGGTCACTTATTGGGCTTTTACGTGACAGACCAACAATACGTGGCCTTGTTAAGAACAAATAAAAATATCTGTTCAGTCCCATTTCCTCTAATTCCCCTACATAAAATGTAATGTAACCAGAATTCAACAAATCAATCATTTTCAGTGAAGGAACAAAGAGCATCATGGGAACTCAGCAGACAGGCCAGGGATGTGGTTGTGAAGAAGATTAAAGCCAGGAAAGCTATGAAACAATTATTCCAACCATTAGTCTGACACTTGAGTCTGAGCTTTCAGGAAGAGTGACAAGAAGAAAGCCACAAGAGATCCTCATGTAGGAGAGACAGCAAGCATGTGCAACAAGGTGACGCTGTTAGATGAAACTGAAATTGAACCTCTTGGTTTATGTGCAAATCTAACGTATGTTGGACGGCTAGCACTAAAAACAACATGTTGGAACACGGCGGAGGCACCGTATTTCTGTGAGGATGCTTTTCTTTGACACCGTCAGCCAACTGGCCAGTTGATCAGAAGATCAAGCAAACCTGAAATAAACTTTGTAAGAAGCTGAAAAACAATTGAGACCGAGTTGAAAGTTCACCATCCAGCCGGACAGATAGCAAAGCTTACTTATATTTTGCAATCTAATTCCAATTAAAGTCTATGGGAAGACTTGAAAATTGATGTTCATAGATGCTCTAAAAATGTCCACATTTAAACTGGAAAAAAATACAACAAAGCATACGCTTGGCTGCTTGGAATTCAAATACAAGCCACACTTTTCAGATTTTTACTTGTGGATTATTGTGAAAACAGTGCATGTTTCCCTTCCACTTCACAAAAATGTATTACTTTGTGTAAAATGAAATATGAATGACTATAAAACACTATTAAATCTATGGCCGTGACAAGCTGAAAGGTTGTGTGAATGCTTCTGACATTTGTGCTGCGAACCCAAGTACAAACACCGACCCAGGGACGATCCCCCGTCTTTACCTGTGGCTTTCCTGAAGCATGTTTGACAGTTCTTGGAGTTTCTCGGCCTCCTGCACTTTTTTCCTGAGGCCCTCGATCTCTTTCCTCAGCTCCTCCACTTCTGTCTGAGCCTCTAAGGATGAGCAAACACAAAGAAGTGTTGTTAGTTCAGAAAACAGCCGGAACGTGACTCACATTCATCTCTGGCGATCGCACCCACCTCGGATCTGAGTAACCGGTGAACTTTTCATCATCGACTTCAGATACTGCCGCTCCAACTTGATGAGCTGTTTTTGCAGGGCGACATTCTCCTCCAACACGATCCTGAGCTGCTCGTTCAGCTTGCCCTGGATTAAAAGTGTCAACTCGTCAACAGCTTTCTTAAAGCTGAAGTATTGTTCGTGTTTTTTTAAGAGTGGAGGCAACTTACCGCCTCTCTACGTGCTTCCTCCAGCTGGGCGGAGAGGTCACACACTTCTGCTCTGTGCTCGTTCTCTCGTGAGAGCGCTTGGAAGCGAAGCGCGTTCACATCCTGTCTTAAGGTCCTGACCTCAGCCTCCCGACTGGAAATATTGCTCTCCATCATGGAGAGAATCTGCACCGCCTGAGCTGCAGCCAAAAATAGATCGGATGAGAACACATTCATCTTCTCCAGACCCTGAGATTGGATGCCGGAAATATGTATATGTATATTTTTTTTGGCCGGCTCACACAGGAAGCTGTTGTTGTAATGCAGCGATCTCTCCCCCCGCCAGTGTTTGTCCACCAAATTGAGGAGCATTTCCAGGGGTTTCCGGTAACCACCCTGACAGGGAAAAATGCAGAGACGTCAGCAAATATAATTAAACGAACACGGAACAATCCGAGGTTCAGCGTACCAATTAGTACAGAGAACGGCCAACCTTTTTTTTCTTTTCAGCTTGCGGCTGTCGGTCAGATCTCCCTTCCGTCTTGTTAAAGCTCGAGTAGGTCAGCCTGGCCGGATGCAGTACGGGGTTGGAGTGATCTGCAAGGTTTAAACCAGAACGCAGCGGACTGGGAGGGCGAATGTCACCAAACGAAGAGCCACGGTGTTCACTTTGAGCTGGGGAAAATGTGGCAAGTACACAGTTACTGATACGTCATGAAATAAACGTTGCCATCTGTCGACTTGTCTAAGTCTAGTGTGAAGGGGTTCACAGGAAATTAAAAACTCACCAGGATTTGCGGTAAAATGACCCCTGGCCTTGTGTCTGGTTAGGCTGGACGAGTCAGTTTGTTTTTGTTTTCCAGACACAGTTTTGTGTTTCTCAAAAACGGGGCCAAACGACACTTTTGGTCTTTCGGCTCCTTTCGGTGATGTTGAGCTTAGATTATGAGGTAGCGTGTTCATCTGCGAGTCTTTGGACTCAGCAAAAGCTGGGAAATTATAAATAAGTGAAAAAAAATAATAATTACAAACGCGCTCTAGTTTAAAATAAATAAAATGGCCTCTGTCTCCCCCTAGTGGTAACTTGGACTGAACTTCACAACTCAAGCACAACTGCTCTTGATGAGTGTTAGATTCAAAAGGATGACACATTAAAACTGACCATTTAGATAATAGGGGAGAAAATGAGTCTGACTAAGAGTCTTCTATGAAATAATGGATGAGTTTGAACACTTACAGTTTTTAGTGGAGGAATACCGAAGGATGGACTTGGCCAATTCCTACAAAAAAATAAAATAAAATAAAATAAAATAAATATTATTAGTAAGCTCAAAAAAGAAGTAGTAGTTGGGACTTTAACAGAAGTAACATTTATGGTACATTTCCAGACATTTTGTAAGATAGATTTTTTGGCAATATTTCAAATTAGAAAACTTCCATGTGAACTGAAATCTCTGGAGATTTCAGAAATTTTTGCAATCCGATCAAGAAAAGAGTTTGATGTAAAATATTGGGGGGAAAAAAAGCAACTAATCACCTTCTTTGGAGTTGAACACCTCTGCACCACAAAGTCATCTGGCTCTTCTCTTTTAGGCTCTATGTAAAGACGTCAGTTTGAAATTTAAGATAGTTGTGAAAGAGGCAGATTATAATTTGCTGCTGAACTTTAAAATTTTACCCGCCACCTCCTTGTAAAGAGAGTCAGCTTCCCCTTGATCTCTGGTAGTTGCTTCAACAAAATTCAACACAATATCGTTGCTGTGGGTCAGAAGAGAAAACCCGCTGGTCAAAAGGTCACAGCATCATTTTAAGCAAAATTCCAGATGGTCCGCGCGAGAAAACTAAAACGGGATTTATGAACATAATCTAAAACATACTGCCAAATCAACACAATATTTCACCACATAGAGGGCATTTCTCATTGCCCTGTATTCACCTTTGTCCCTAAATCCTGTGAAATGTTAGAGAAAAGACTCACTGCTGTCCGATTGACACAAGGCATTAACAGCAGAACTGCCAGAGATTTTGGCACTGACAATTTAGTACAATAATAATGTTTTCATCCTCTGAATAAACACACAGTGGTCTGAGTGAGATTACGCCATTTAAAGAAAAGAATATTTCTTATAAAGCTTCTTTCATATTTGTACCAGAGGTGCTAATAAATGTACAAGATATCATGGTGGTAAGATGAATTTTGTCTAGAATGTGAAGACGTTCTTGTGTTACCCTAGGCCCAGCTGTCCGTCCAGGGACAAGCTACTTTGCTGCAGAGAGGGACGTTGAGTGGAGAACTCAAGTATTGCAGCTTTGCGCTCTGTGTCTCTGACTGGGAAGTTATCTGTAAAACAAACATCATGAATGACCAGACTCAATAAACAAATATCCAAGCCTGTGATGAGCGTGGACGCCTTGAGCATGCCTTACCAAGTTTTCGCAGGTTGGGCATGGCGTGAACCAGATGTGGTCGATAGCCCGGGCAATTTTTGGTCAAAGGGTTAAGCCTGAGGTCCAGCTCCCTTAAAGCTGGCAGTTCGTACAGCACTTGTACTTTTTCTAGGGATGGTATGCAGTTATAGTAAAGAATCAGCCTCTCCAGCTTCTTCAAGTGCTTCACCCCCTGGTTATATAAACAGAACAAACTTCAATCAGGAATAAAAATAGTTTTATATATATATATATATATATATATATATATATATATATATATATATATAAAACTAAACACCATAACTGAGGTAAGAAAAATAAATTTAGAGATGTGTTAAAGACAGGGCAAATTATATTCTATGTGAGAGAGACCAAATACTTTAATTGGGACTTCATGTAAAGACAAAAACAAAGTAGAACATGACTATAAAGTGGAAGGAAAACAATACTTGTAGTTGCAGTTGTATTTAGGCTGAGATTAAATTACATTCTGGAAATATTAGGCGGCTGCAGGAGGCAATTACTCATTAAATCTTATTTAAAGGCGTCAGACAAAAGGGGCTGAATATATATGCACGTCGTACTTTTAATTTTTTTTGTTTGTAAAATAACATATTCTTTTCTTTCCACGTAACATTTAAGCACTATTTATTTGTGTTAGTTTGAACGGATTGAAGAGAAATAGCTTCATGGAAAAGGAAAACGTGTCGTGTGCAGAATGAGCTGCAGAGAAACAAACCTCCAACGAGACGATGGCATTGTAAGACAGATCCAGAGATTTTAGACGGCAAAAATGATTCAGAGCACTTCCAAGATGCCTGATTTTCTCCTCATGTGTCCCTGGGAGACTCAGTGTCCGAACATCACCTGTTTTAAAAAATATATATTATTTATGAAGGAAACAGTTCATGCTACGTTAGCTTTTGTTAGCTTCTTACCACCGCTCAGGCCTGTGAAAGAGCCTTATAGGTTTACGTTTTAAGCAAGACAAGCTTAAAAGTGTATAATTTACCCTCCATATTTACTAGGTTTTATACCGAGCCCCATTTAGGGAGACCGTCTTACCAAGAAAAGGGTGTTTTAACTGAAGTCTGTCACGTATCCATTGCTCTGTTAATGTTGTCAAACACACCGCCGCCATACTTTTCGAACTTTTGCTGCGTTCACGTACCGTGGGGGGAACAAGTATTTGACAATCAATTTAATAGTGAGATATAATAATGATAAAAATGATTTAGATAAAATGTTTTTACAGATTTGCATATGTTTAAAGAACATTTAAGGTGTGCTAAGTTTTTCTAATATATTCAAATAATGCTCTGTGTAGGCAATTGTGTAAACACTGACAACACTGTGAATCTGACCAAGACCAAACAGTTTTGACTTTAGACATTGAGTTGTGCAAATTTGTTGTATAAATTGCATCCTGCATGTCAATACCTGCTTGTTTCCCTTCTCTATATATTTACTACATATCTATATCGCCGGCTATTAAAAAACCTACTTAATTGCTTCTTAACACAAATAGGGAAATAGTTAGTCATATAGTTGGAACTTGATGCAAATAGGGATCCAGATTTGCATGACATTGCATCAGAATATAGAAGAAAATAACTTGAGTTACTTTAAACATTGTCGGGTGACAGACTATTGTTGGTGCTTCAGAAACTGGTACAGTTCAGCTTTTACGAGCAACATTGAACACATTCTTTTTGAGCTTGCGCACTGGACTTAGGGCTTGACCACGTGTAAAAACAAACCGTTGATTGTTCCTGCCCGATGAGTTTGCTGTTTTATCCTCTGTTATTATCAGTAAGGAAGCCTTTTTGGTCCACATCCTGATATGTTTTAATAACTTCCGTGAAATGCGTTTATTTAGACTTTCTTTGATGTTATCTGTGTGTTGCCAGTTGGCAGACTGTCGGATGTTTTCAGACGTCTATTTGCATCAGGATCAATGGCGTCCTGTGTAATGGACTGGGTCACCTCTGGTTCCAACAGTGTTTTGTGTGCAACAGCCCTGCACTCCTCCTATAGACTCTTTAAGGTAGGCATAGATTTTTAAGACTAAATGCAATAAGAACGCAGGACATAACTCACTAAAACGCATTGAGTGAAGCTCTCTAAAATGAAAAATGCGTTTGCTCTTGTCAAAGTAACAATTCATAGGTGGAACTTGCTTTTTAAAACCTACAGACTAAGTTGTAACTATTTCCTTTCTGTCACTCTTCATACGCACGTTGTACCTGTATAAATCTACACTCACCACATACCATGGATCTGTTCATACTGTCTTTCTCTATAGGACCACAGGGGGCCCTCTGTTGGCTTCTTCCTCCTCGGGGTCTCTGCAGCTCTTTGCCTCTTCCATGCCTCCACACTTCAGAGAGAAGCAGAATGGACCGGGGAGGTTCTGGCTCCGGCTTTGGTTTCCTTCGACCTCCTGTGGCTCAGTCAGGACCACAACACGGCTCGTGTTCTCCTGTGCGGCTCCTGTCTGCTTCTCGGACTCTCGGACTGGCTCTCAGGAGAGACGCTCACTGTCCTGACTCGCTGCCTCGGCCTGTCTTCTCTGTCCTGCTGCCTGACTGTGTGTCTGTTTGCAGGGAATGCGTTAGGGGCCGCAGGCGGCGTGGCCCTCAGCCTCCCCTTACTTCTGGCACAGAGGGCCGACACGAACGCTTTTTCTCCTCTGATCTCTCCACCTGCTGCAGAAGGACTTGTGAAATGTCTTCTAAAAGGGTCGTTGTCAGTCGGCTGTTGGCTTTCAGCAAAAGCCCTTAACAAGTTTCTGTTGGATGTGACTGACCTATAAATATGTAAATTAGTGGTGATTTTTGTTATTGCAGAGGTAAAGTGTTCATTGCAGACGGTAAAGGGACATGAAATGACCTAACTTGACTGAACAGATTATCTAAAAACAATGTACATTTCCACCATTACTATGCTAAACACTTTTTTCACAGCAGCAGACACTTTTTTTGCTGCTGTAATTCACATATTCGCTGTGAGTTTTTGACATTTACTTTGCAGCAGGGAACTTCCAGAAAGTTATCAGAGGGTTTTCCAGAAGTTGGCCTATGATATTCTTAGGAATAATATCAGAATCCACAACATAATTTCAGGAATTCAACTACAATGGTTCTATGCATATTTATTCGCAATCTTTTCATTTAATAACATTATGGTATCTGCTCTGTGCTTTTGTATGCCTAAGGTTATCTTTAAGTAATGTTTACAACCTGTTAGAGATCATTTGGGTATATTAATATTGTAGAATTTATATGTATATGTATAATATTGTAACTAACCCACTTTTAAGCTGCCTTTTATCTCTAATATACTGAGAAAATAGTTTGAAATGAGCTCAAAATGTTTTTGGAGAATGACTATTGATGACATTTAGTTGGACATTAAACCTTTAAAAGGCCCTTTTTTTGTCAGAGTGTGAAAAGACATTGGAAGTGTTTATTTGGGAAACTCTGCTATGACGTGTTGTGGATCTGAGTGGTGCTTTTTAGACTACATCTTGCCACATTTGCATATCCAGTTTCATTTTTATTTTCTTATTTTTTGTGTTCATATTTCACTGTTTTTTTTTTTGGTATAAATTCAATTTTCCTGTTAACTTATCACTTTGCTTTATTATGAGGATTTGTTTGTTTTATTACTTTTGGTTGTGGTCTGCCTTTGCTATACAGCACTGTTTTTTGTAGGGGGTTTTTTATGTGCAGTGTAATCAAGATAATTTCTGTCTTCCCATGCATGCATAAAATCAGAAATGGAAAATTTTAACAAAAAGCAGAAATATTTCATTTGATCCAAAGATCAAATGATAAAGGCCACCTTAAGAGATCAGTTTGATCCCTTGGTAGCAAGATAAAGAAATCAGGTTTGCCCTAAAGCTTTTGCACAGTATTATTTAGTTTGCATGAGCTAAAACTAAATACATAGATCTAACTGATGTTTTGCTAATTAACATTTTTTTAAAAACTAGGGTGTCTGTTGGAAAGCAGTCCCCTGCAGTAAGTCCATTGTTTTAATACCAGATATTATTTTAATGAAATTTGCTGAAACTAAGTCAGACTTCTTTTAAATATCAAATGAGCTGAGATTGAATAAAAACGTATCACCAGTGTGATAATTCAAATTCTCAGTCATTTTGTTGCAGTGATAAAAACTGAAAAAATGCAGGTAAAAGTCAAAATATTCTTTTCTCGTGTTTTCTAAGTTTCTATCTGTTCTGCTTAATTCTTGTCAAGTTGGTGTTGTTAATGTCTGTTTTTGCCTGCTTGTGTTTTTATTTTGGACTGAGGCAAGCAGAAACACCCTCCCAGAGTTTAGGAAGCCTTTGCTCTGCAGCCTCAGCACTATCCATGTCCGAAATATCTGCAGGGGTCAAAGCTCTAACTTTGTCTCCGTCATAGTTTGATGCTCATCACATCTCTGTTTTGCAGCGAGCTACAGGAAAAGATGCTGCAGCTTGTCTCCCAGGGTTTCAGGAGAGTGAAACTGGTTCACTGCAGTATATGTAAAACATCTGTGGCTCCAATCCAAACTCTGAGGGGAATGGTAGAAATAGTTTTTCCTTTTAGCATTCTAAGTCATTTCGGGACATTATTGGTCCTAAAGATGAATGTTTATAGAGTTGCCTGTTTTGTTCCTTTTTTTATTACTGTCTAAAAATGTATATATTTCAGAAGTAATTAATCGGTCTTATGACCAAAATAAGCTGTTGTATTGCATTCACAAACGTCAGTATTTTTTTCAGGGATTTTCCACCGCTGTTCTGGTTGTATGTTTGGGGTCGTCCTTCATCAGATGCAGGTCGACCTTCATCCTCGCCCCAGGTCTTCTCCTGCTTCAGCTCCAGTGTTAGTTCTCCACCTCACATTTACTTGCAGAACTAAAAGTTGAATGAATGTTTGCGGTGTTGGATCTTATAAAGATCAGATTTGTTGAGTGTGCAACCGACAGTTGTTGCGTTAAATTCTGCCACGAGTTGTGGATTTCTGCAGCTCCTCCAGAGTAACCGGGGGCTTTTTGAAAGCTCTTCTTGCTCAGCCTGTCGGTTTCGGTGGACGGCTGTTTTTGGTGGGTTTTCTGCTGTGCTGTGCTCTTTCCATTTTCAGATGCAGGATCAAACAGTTCTTAATGAGACATTCAGAGCTTTGAATGTAGTTCTCCAATCAAACTCCTCTAGAAATCTCCCCACAACATTTATTAATTCATAAATAAAATTTAATGGTATACATTTCCTAAAAAGGACACTTTCATTTAGTTTCAATTTGATTTAGGGCTGTACAAGTAAAGGGCACTGAATACATATAAATATACCATTTTCAAATTTTATCTACTTGGAAACTGTTTTTTTTTTCCCCTTACATTTTATAATCATGTACTACTCAATATTACTAACTAACAAAATACCAATAAAAGACAAAGTTTGTGTAATCTGGATTCTTTAAGATTTATTTTTGTTCAGCAACTTTTCGCGACTTTCTTTGCTTCACTACTCACCCGCTTAAAATCAACAACCTGCAATGTTTGTTTATTTCACATACTCAGAAGAATGAAATGAATCACTTCTTCCTTCTCTACCAAGCCAGGCCAGCGTTGTCATCGTTGGCTCCGTCACCCCATTCTCTCCATGAAACCTGTCTGCATCTGCAGCTGCACCACTGCAGCGGCTCAGGAAGCCGCACTGAGCATGCTCCGTGGAGCCGCAGCTTGTGGATGGAGCAAAGTGGAGAGAAGGAGAAAAGGAAGGGGAGGAGAACGGAATGAGCCTGGCGGTGCAGGGATCTTCCAGCAGCTCCTGAGAAAAGGAGCTGAACGAGAGGAGTTGGGATTAACACAGATGGAGCGTGACATCGGAATACGAAGGGCTGGAATCACAGGCTCCCATTATCGGGAGGGAGAAGTCGTTTGATGAGGTACAGAAGACAATTAATTCAGCTGGATGAAATGAAAATGGAAAAATGCATCATAAAAAATAAAAAAAAATCTCAACATGCACATCTAGATGATCGGCTTCTCCGTTTTAAGATTAAGTCTGATATTTTTATGCCTTCCATCAGTTTCACAATAACTAAATCAGCGGGTTCATTTATCATTTGCAGGAGCTCTCTGACGGAGTGGAGATGTACGCCTTCTATTCGCTTTTAGTCTACATCTTCTACACTGTCTTCAGGAAGGAGGAGGACGCCTTGGATGGAGCCTGTGGAGCTTCCCCAGATGTGAGTCTAGCCACATCATTTTGCATCCTCAGAGATTTTCTGCTCAGATATTTTTGGAAACATCAATCAGGCCACAGGTTGCCTCACAGTGTTGGATTTTTATTGCATGTAGTTGTGCGCATGTCTGGATTTGGAATATGTGTTTCTTTTGTTAAAAACATGTGCGTGCGTGTGCGTGTGTGTGTGTGTGTGTGTGTGTGTGTCTGCGTGTTTTGTGTCTGTTACCGTCTGACCCTCGAATACGATGCACAGGAGCCAGGACCTGTTTCCATGGAAACAAGGAGCAGGAGACGAGATGGCCACGCCTCCAGAACAAAAAAATCTTGTGCTCGATTTAGTGAATCAAGTGAGTCCGTGAGAAAGAAACCATGCATGTCCTGCACGCGGAGTTCCCACCTACGCTTTAAATATTTAGCGCAAACAGTCCTTCATTCTGTTGCTCTCCTAATGTTTGACCAGGCAGCAGCAGTGACAGTGACGAACTGAGTGATGAAGATGAGGACATTGCCCCAGACATCCCAGCCTGCACTCCTCTGGCGGCTTTTCTGTCTTTCAAACAGGAGACTGAGAAGAGGAGAGCCTCTCAGGTTCAGCTGGAGGCAACAGGAAAGGTATCGAACACTTGATGCAGAAGGCTAGAGCTTGAATTCACCCCCGAACCCCCAACCAGGTCGATAAACTTTAAGGATGCGTTTCCCCATCAAACAGTTGGCCGAGTCTCCCCTGGTGGCGGTGATGTCCCACTTGCTAAGCTTTCTGGAGCAGTACTCCCACTTCCAGCAGCTGCAGCAGCAGGCCGACCAGTACCGGGTCCAGCTGAAGAGGCACCGCGTCCAGCACCGCCGTCAGATGAAGATTCTGCGGGCTTCCTACCGCCAGCGCATCAGAGACAAGAACAGCGTCATCAGCAGCCTGGAGGAGGCCATCAGTCAGCAGCAGAGTCCCAGCCCCCTGAGCGAGGGTGAGACAGAGGGGTGGGGGGTGGGGTGAGACGTTATCACTCCCATGCTTCGAAGGGATGGTGAAAAAAAAGACAGATGTAAAAGGTTATAGTCTTTGTTGAAGATACTATCTACAAGCTTTATTGTGATCGCTAACAGGTAATTAAAAACACCTGTGGTTAATGACGTGTGGATTTCCATTGCAGGATTTCACAAAACACCTTTTAAAAAAACACACACTATGGGAAACAAAAATAACAAAACATCTAATACGGCTCTGTGTGTTCCGGGTGGCGACATTTGAGCTTGAATTTGACTCGGATGACTCCCACACGCAAACAACAACAATGATGATTGCTGCTATAAATCTAGCAAGTATAAATCTTCTCAGATTCCTCTCTGAACTCTTCCATCTGATTTAGGCCACTCATTGAATCAGTAAATGCCAACTCTCCCTTGTTTTGGGATTTTCCAGTACTCTAGATGTGTGTTCAGTTTGAACTTGTGCCACTAACGGCTTCTGAATTCCTAACTACATCTTCTACATCTTCCCTGATGAGCGAAGGGAAACTTTTCTTATTTTATTCCTGTTTGTGTTGACTGGAATGATGGTGGTGGTGCATCTGTACATTTTTTTGTAACATCTGAGAGACATGAGTAAAGCAAAAAAGGATTAGATTTGCCAGATGTTTGTCAGCAGCTGTGTTGTCACAAGAACCAGCCCCGCCCCGTGGTTCTCAGAGCCTGTCTGTACCTGCTGTGATTCAGATGTAACCACAGACTGGTTGTCTGACCTCAGATCAGAAACCCTAAGCAGCGTTCGCAGACTGTCACTGCAGCTTGTTAACAGGTGCATGAACATGCAGCTCCCCGAATGAGCAAATTTGTCTCAGTTTTACAGAATGTAAGAGGATCTCGTGACTCCCCCGAGTTGCTGGATCTCAGCTGTGTTGACGTGAATAAAACATGTCTGCTGATGCTGTTTAAACTGGAGCAAATGGAGTTACAAGGTCTGGCACATGCAGGGGTAGCACGTGTAAACGTGTCAGGATAAAAATAGCCAGAGGTCCCGGTGGCCACAAGGCTATTCTGTTTGTTTGTCTTTTTTTATTTTTTTATTTTATTTTTTATAGGTGTAATACAAAATGCAGGTCTGAGTGATACTGTGCATCATGAATATGCAGGATGTCAGTCAATATGGCTGGGTTGCAACTGTTTAGGCTGTTTTCCATTTAGATCACAAGGGTTTTACAAATACATTTATTGGTTTAAAAATAATTTTTTACACATAGTTTTAAGCTGCTGCCTTAAAATTTACAGTCCTGTTTAATTCCTCCTGCAGATTTCTTTCCGAAACCTCTCCACAAGGACAAACCTGACATGCAATGTTGATAAAATTAGCATAAAGTTGCGAAATGAAAGTAAGAGACGACAAAGCCTGATAAGTCACTGAGGCGGAGGAAAAGTGATGGAAGCATTGTTAGTCATGCTGCTTCAGCTCAGGGTGGAGTGCAGGGTGGTTTCAAAAAAAGGTTTGCTGAGTTGCACTATTATAATTCATGTCTTTAAATTTGCATCTCGAGATGGGAAGTAGAACACGAGCACAATGATGTCAACGGTAGCGCGCAGTGACTACAGATGCAAAAAAAAAACAAAAAAACATTTGGTCCACTTTCAATGGTAATAAATATTAGATTTACACGTGAGCTTTTCTTCATGCTGTGGAAATGTTAGGGAAATGAAGAGATGGCTCTGAGTAAAAAAAAAAAAAAGTTGGATTCATACTGACTGTGACTGCAGTCTTATAAAAAAAATGTCTTTACTCACACAGGAATGTTTCGCATGATCAATGATATTACAATAAAATAAAACAAAGAATTTGAATGAATGCAAACAGCAAGTTTTATTTCAATAAATTCATTGCTGCAGTTTTTGCCCTTAGAACATCATTGGGATTAAATTGCTGACAGTGCTGGATGTTGTTGGTTTTGTTTCCTGTCTTGCAGGCGAGTGCAGTAGTGATGTGGGGAGTCCAGCTGGTCTCCACCGGCTGGTGGAGTCCCTGTACGGGCTGCAGGGGGAGAGGAGCAAACTGAGGGGAGAGCTGCGTCTGCTGCACTCACAGCTGGAGCAAAAAGAACGAGACAGGCACACCCGCATACAGGCCTTTCAGCAGCAGGTACACGGCTGGGGTTATTTTTGCTCCTGTGTATTGTAAGAGCAGACCATCAAAACTGTAATTTTCATTCTGACATTTTGCACGAGTGCCACTTCTATTTAACGTAAGCAGAGAAATGCGGTTTAGATGTTAAGTATTCCCACATGATAAGAGGCTAGTTCAAACATTTCACATTCTTCTACTGATAATAGAAAAAAAAACAAGTCTTCATTCTGACACATCTAATCAAATGTTCAAATTGCTTCCATTTTTTTTATTTAGATTGATGAGCTGAAGAGCTGCATAGAGGAGCGTGAAGAGGAGCTGTCGAGACTGAGAACAGCCGCTGTGAGTCCTGCAAGCCATTGACTGAGTCATTCATCAAGTGTTTGTCACTTTTCAAGCAATCAGCAGAGCCGCTCCGTTATAAAACTAGCTCCGTAAATGTCAAGCAGCACCCAGCTCTTACAACAAAAAGAAGGAAATGAAATGCATATTGGAAATAAATATAGTAGTTGGCGCTGTGCTTATTTGATCTACCATTTTTTTTAAATTATCTTTGAATTTTGACAGAAAAAACGAAGTTAACTAAACTTTCATCAGTAGATAATTGCATAAATAAAATTGTGAAGTTAACAAACCATAATCATCCATCGGCTTTGCAGGATTTGATTATTTTTCTCTTCAATTAAATGTGAAATGTTTATAAGCTTTTACAGTGTCTTTATTCAACTGAAATGTGCCTTTTTTCACATTAGTTCTCATTTTTGCTTTCACAAACATACAGTTTCCTTTTATGTCATATTTATTCTGTCTGATCTGAATAAACATTGAGACACAGCTTGGAGCCTTAAACATCATTTTTAGCAAGATACAGGTCTCTGTCCTAAAAACCTAAACATATTTACATTAACTACACAGCATGCATTTAGCATGTCTTTGATTTTACATACTGTAGCTCTGCAACAGACTGTGATATTCTTATTAAATAATTTAAAGAAGATTTCCAACATAAAAGTGTATCAGAATCAGACTATCGCTTCAACTTTATTCAAATTCACTTCTAACAACTTGTCAGTCAAGAAAAAAAATAACTGTCTCATGATGAGCTAAACCAATGAGCGCCAGTGTTTGTTTTACCCTCAGGGAGCCACGGACTCCGAGAAGCGAGTTCTCTGTCTGTCGGCTGAGAACGAGAGCCTGAAGCAGAGCCTGAGCGTCACACAAGGCCTCCTGCAGCAGCTGTCGGCCATCCCGTCTCAGTCCAACACCATGCTCATCAAGGTGAGAGGCTGGAGTTCTGCTCCGAGCTCAACCCGCCGTTAACACCCACGCGACGTGCTTCGTTTTCACACGACAGGAGAACGAGAACCTCCGTGGCCGAGTTCAGCAGCTGGAGTCATCCCTGCAGCAGCGGGCCGAGCAGCTCTCGCAGCTGGAGAGGAAGAGCGAACACAGGGAGTGGAGGAGAGGAGAGGAGCTGAGAAAACGGGAGGACAGAGTGAGGGAGCTGGAGCTGGAGCTGAATAAGGAAAGAGGGAAGGAGCCAGTTGTGAAGGTGAACCATCTCAATGGGCTTGTGATAGATTCCAGAGGGACTTGGGTGTATTCATACGATCCTGAAAAGACGTGAATCTTCTCTGCAGTACGTCACGCAGACAGTGGAGGTGGAATCTCCGGCCACAGTGAAGCAGCTGACCAAAGCCAGACAGAGGAACGAGGTGCTGTCTGAAAGGCTGTCCGGTCAGAATGAGAGGTGCAGACAGCTGGAGGAACAGATCAGGAAGTCGGATGAATATAGCTGCAACCTGCAGCACAAGGTAAGAACTAAAGGTTTCAACTGTCAGGATGATTTTGCTTTGAATCCCTCGGTTTTTTGGAGAACACGGATGAACATAAAGTTTCATGGAGGTTTTTTTTAAAGCATGGTTAGCTCATAAAACAATGTCAGCATTATGCCAAAATACTTGAGATGAGGTCAAAGGATTACATTGAAGCAGCAACTTTAAACATACAGTTTAGACTAAATATATATGTATTAAAATGGCCCAGTCAAAGCCCACTCTTACATCACAGCCCAATTCCCAATTATGCACTACTCTGTATGCGCCCGTCACATAAAATTCAAGTTCATTGTATTAATTTGGTAAAAATGCCAAGTAGTTTTACAAGGTCTTGCACATTTTGAACATCACTCGTTGTTAAGTTTGTCTCTACATTACTGCTAGCTGTAAGCCATAAAACCGTTGATGTTTAGAAATAATTTAAAGTCAGTGTTATGAACCGCCGATCCGACGACAGAAATTAAAATAAAAGTTCTACCCTCTTGTTGTTCTATAACAACACAGTGTAGAGTTACGCCACTGTAAATGTAAAGCTAACAGGCCGACAAACTGTTGTGATGAAATATTTACAGATTGCAGCTTACGAACGAGAAATCAGTCACCTGCGAGAGGAGCTGCTGAAGGAGATCGGCCACTTGGAGGAGAAGAAAGAGGAGGCCGTGAAGGCTGCTGCCAGCTGCTCCGCTGAACACTTTCAGAACCTGCAGGACCAATTTTTCAGTCAGTCGCTTCTGCTGCTGCTGCTCACAAGACGTTCTGCTTAGTCAAAGAATATTTTTTTCACGCCGTATTTTCTCTCTCAGCTTTGCAGAAGCGTCTAACAGCTCTCCCTCCCACCCTGCGCTCCATGAAGACAGACTATGCCAGTCTAAGGAGTCAGGTTCGGAACTTCTCCGAGTTTTACGGTGCGGCGATCAGTGAAGCCAAAAAGCAGGTAATTCAGACCTGAACTCTTGCATTTTGGTGGAAGGGGAAACGTCAGATTTCTGGGGTTCCATGCCGTGTTTTCTCTTTGGTAGATCTCAGCGGCTATCAGCGAGATGTCTGAAGCCAACAAGGACCTTCTGGAGAAGTACAGGAAGGAAGTGGCCCTGCGCAGGAAGCTCCATGAGCAGCTGGTGGAGCTGAAAGGCGAGGAAGAGTCACGTTTGCTACGGCAAATGTAGTCAGATTGTTCGCTCACCGAGCCTTCGCTCCGTTTCAGGCAACATCCGTGTGCTGTGCCGGGTCAAGCCCGTGCTCAAGGAGGACCAGCACGAGGAAGGTCAGTCTGTTGTCGTGACGACGGACCCCAACAATGAGTCCTCCCTCACTGTGTTGAGCAAGGGGAAAGGTCGCAGCTTTGAGTTGGACAAGGTCTTCCAGCCACATGCCACACAGGAAGAGGTAGTGAGAAAGACAAAGATTTGAAGGACACGTTATAGCGACATGACCTCTGACCCCGCACCTCACTCTTGGTTTGGTTTGAACAGGTCTTTCAGGAGATCGAACCTCTCGTGACGTCCTGCATTGATGGCTACCATGTCTGCATATTTGCATATGGACAGACAGGCTCTGGAAAAACCTACACCATGGAGGTAAACACGAGTTTTATAGCATGGCTGCAACTAACAAAGGTCATTTGTTCAGATTAAAAAAAAACTCATAATAATGGCACATTTTTTAATTAGATGCATGTATTGTAATTTATTACTACATTTGTTTGTGTTTTAAAGAAAATATTATTCTTGTGTTCAGAGCCGACAGCATAAGCAAACAGAATGGTTGGTCTGGTTGCTTTTACCACATAAAAGCAGATTTATGAGATGGCATATTATTGATAATAGTTAATATTTAAGCAAGTGACAACTATTTTAAATAGATTAACCTACACTATTTTCCCAAAAGTAATTGCTCGTCTGTCTTCAAACGTATGAATTAGACACAGTAGCCAAAGAGTTGATAAAAAAAACGAGAAAACTTTCTGGTTTTCACAAGACTAAGAAAAAAACTCATTACGACTAGATTTATATCTCAATAAAACCAAAGTAATAAATGTTGTTAGAGTAAAACAGAAATAGTTGTTGGGATTTTTAGATGTCGTCCAGAAGCAACAGGATTTAGAAGGAGAACAATAGCGAGCTCCTTTATGCATTTTCATCAAGCCGTAATGTATTTTTTATATCGCATTTAAACGAGAGACTTTCTCATCATAACGAGATATAAAACTCATTATAACGAGAAAGTTTCTTTTTTTTCCAACAAGTCTTGCATCTCGTTATGAGATGGTGCTCCTGAATTTATTTCTAATCACTTCTGTACTTATATAATCCTGATTTTATTTTTAAAATAAAGTTAGAAAAAGGCTCTGCTAAAAAATTTAAATACATATTTAATTATTATTTTTTCAAAATAAGTTTTAAAAAATCTAAATGACTAAATAAAAGAACATTTTATTTGTGAAACCACAACACAATATTGTTTTTTCCTGTTTGGTTTTAGTTTTGTGTCTTAGTTCTAAGAGATGCCTGCAGTGTAGATCCACTCTTGCCGACAGCACAGCTGAATTTATGAATGAATAACTTTACCCAAGTTGTTCGTTTCCTGCTCAATATTTTAAGGCGAAACTTTAACTTAGCACTTTTCCTTCCTATAAAATCAACTGCCTCTCCATAAGTTTCTCATGACTGAAAAATTGCAGATGCCAAACGCCATAAAGCCACTTTTGATCATGAAGAAATCAAAAGTGGCTCTAAAAATGCCGGCTGTGTTACCATGTCAAGATCCAGCAACCTGATATGACCACTTCTTGTTATCCAGGGCAGCGTGGAAAACCCAGGAATCAACCAGCGAGCTCTGAAACATCTCTTCAGTGAGATCGAAGAGAGAAAGGACATGTGGTCCTACACGGTCACAGTTAGCTCTGTGGAGATTTACAATGAGGTGCTGAGGTACAGACGCTGCTTTCTAGCTGGAGGTGACATATTGTAACGTATATTGTGACAAAAAGGGGGTTAAGTGTGGTTTGTCTTTCAGAGACCTGCTGAGTAAGGATGGAGAGAAGTTGGACATAAAGATCAACCCGGATGGAACGGGACAGCTGCACGTTCCGGGCCTCAGGGTTGTAGAAGTTAGGAACTTTCAGCACATTAAGAAGGTGGGACGATCTTCTCCTACCGTTTTAATCACCGTTCGTGAAAACATGACTGATCTAACCAACTTTTTTTTTTATTATTGTTTTTAAAGATTTTAGCCACAGCTCGTAGGAACAGGATCACTTTTGGCACTCAGATGAACCAGCACAGCTCACGCTCCCACGCTCTGCTGTGCATCACCGTCCAGGGTACTGACCTTGCCTCTGGCTCTAAAACCACCGGTCAGTCACGCATTTTTTATTTTTTATTTTTCCTTTTCACTGTCAAAACTGTCAGGAGTTTTGTCTTTCAAAGGCAAATCAGTTCTGTGAATTTCACCCTTCGTCGCTCAGGTAAGATGAACCTAGTGGACCTGGCCGGCTCCGAGCGGGTCTGGAAGTCCGGAGCCGAAGGGGAGCGGCTGAAGGAGGCCCAGAACATCAACCGCTCCCTGCTGGCGCTCGGGGACGTCATTCAGGCTCTTCGGGGTCGGCACACCCACATCCCCTTCAGGAATTCTCGCCTTACCTACTTGTTGCAGGACTCCCTGGGCAAAGGCAGCAAGACCGTCATGGTGGTGCAGGTAAGAGGAAATTTGCCCATCAATCGTCAGCCGATTCTTACAGCGCCACTAACCGAGTTAAATCATTCCACCGAAGGTGTCTGCGCTGGAGAGCAACGTGGGCGAGACGTTATGCTCTCTGAAGTTCGCTCAGCGGGTTTGTAAAGTGGAGCTGGGTCCTGCAGCCAGGAAGATCGAATCTGGCGGAGGCCAGTGTGACTGACGGCCTTGAATCCGCCACAGAGTCCTACAGTATTAAAGCACCTGGCAAAAAGTATTCACACTCCGTGAATTTTTCCTCATTATGTAATGTTACAGCATTTACTGTATTTTATTTTGGTTTTATTTGATAAGATCAGCATAGGGTTGTGCATAATTGTGAAGTGAGTCTGTAAAAGATGCACATTTTGCAACTGTGCTGCATGGATGTGATCTTTAACCTCCTACAGGAAATACTTTACAGAACCAGTTCTGCTTTGACTACACCAGCGAGGCTTTGGGGTACGTCGAAAGACGATTCTCCCTCGCAAAATATGTCAGGCTCAGTCTTTGCAGCAGCTCTGAACATCAATTTTCAAGTTTTGCCACAGATTTTTAGGAATTCTCATTGACAAGGCCATTTTAGCACGATTATGGTTTAATCTATACATAGCATTGTCTTTAAGCCCCTGCTGTGCAGCTAATGCTGTCTTTGCATTGTGAACAGCAATGTCTTGGAAGATCTTTACATATTTATAACCTACTCCTGCTTTAATCATCTCTTCAAACTCATCCTTTGAGATCTCTTATTGTTTTCACTGCATACACTGTAAACTGAGATTAAATTACTCTGGTAGACTGAATTTAATAATTATGTGACGTCTGAAGGAGCTTGGCAACGTTAGATGTTAAGAGTACGAGAGTAAAGTAGTCGAAGACAAATGCGTGACGTATTTAAAACATATTGAAACCCGAGTCTTAATTTTCTGCTCCTTCAAAATGATGCACTACCTTGTGTTTGTCTATCACATAAAACCCCAATAAACAATGAACATTTTTGCAGTTCCAATGTGGAAAAGCTTATAAGGAGTATGAATACTTTGCAGGCAGTCTCACCATTATCCCACCAGCTACTTTCAAGTATCAACAAGATCAGCTGCAAACCTGATTAAGGGCTAAATCTGTGGAGGTCTGCAGTTTTGAGGTCAAGTTTTGTTCCTCTCCGCCATATTCAGTAAAAAACCCTTTATCATTAGTTGACCTGCATGCAGTCAGGAATATTTATTCTGCCTCTCTCTCTCTCTCGGCTGGAAAACCCGATGCTTCCTTGAAATGCTGTTTATTTTTATTGTATAGGAGAATCTGGGATTAATCACAACCTCGGTGATCGTCACACTGTTTAGTGCCGTGTCATGGTACACCTCGATTCAGTCACAATATCAGCACTTTAGTTTGTGCACCCTTTGCCACCCACCTTGCCGTAGATGTCTGTAGACCGTGTCATTGCTGATGTAACATATTTTGAAGCTGTAGTGTGTAGGAACAGCTACATTATGAGCTGCAGGTACATTTAAGCCCCACGTTTGTGTCGTTTCTGTGAAAAATTCAAAAAGCCGTGGCTGAAAGCTTAGATTCGCCTTGATCATTTGCCTTTACAGATGTGAACAGAGGTTGTTTTGAGGGGAGCTGGTGGCCTTGTCTGGAATGAACTGAACTGTGCAATAACTCCCGACGCAGGTGGAGTGGGCCCCGAGATAGAAGATGCACTTTATTGCGAAAGAGCAGCGTTTCAGTTCGGCTTGCAACGGAGGTCACTGGTGAATGTTTCACAAAATACTGCAAGCTTATTTATTGCTCATATGTGTTAATCGGTTTTTAATCCACCGAATCGAAATGTGCTTTTGATTCTAATGTAGCAAAACATGTAGCAGTTCCTGTCAGGAGGTATTTCAGTGGTAGAGAGTGAATCTTCAGGTAATTTTCTGAATAAATGTGTACAGTAATTAAAATGTGTCTCAGTGTGTTCAGAAATGAGTGATTAGTAAAAAATGTAGCAAAACTCCCAAAAAATATTTACACTTTGCCACTTTTTCATTATAGTTGTGTTCAAGTTTTTTGTATCAATATTCTCATTTTATTGTATATTTACTTTTAAACCAGGGAATGATATAATTCCTGTTTCTTTTCCCTCAATTTTTTTTTAATGTATAAACAATATTTTAAATGTTAGACATTTTCCATCAGGTATTAAATATGGAAACTGGAAAAACTGAAAAGATGAACGGATGGATAAACAGACGTATGATCAAGTTCAGTTATTCACTGGCTGGATGGACAGATAGATGAATGAAGAAACAGAGACATAGATGGACAGATCAATAGAAGAATGAATGGAAAATGGAAAGATGAAAGAATGGATGGCAGAAGATGAATGAATAGGCAGATTAATGTAAGAATGGACAGATGGATGGATACTTTGATAAATAAACTTTTCTATGTAAATATTTAATTAAACAGCATAAAGGCGGTCAGGTTGGAATGAATCAGTGTGAGTCAGATCAACACACAATGGGAGACAGAGAATGAATGAAGCCTAAAAATAACATTTTCCTTTCTGCTCTTCTTCCTTCTTATTAATTTAGACTTTGGGAGAAGCACGAGTTCAAGTCTAGCTTTATTTATGTAACAAGGAAATTCAGACATTTAAAAAAAAATAAAATAAAACATTTTATTTTAAATGTTTAAAAAAATATATATAAAATACACCTTCAGAAACCACATATGAAACGCGTGACTCATAGGAAGGTGAGGAAAAGATAATATCCAACCCTCTCCTCTGCAGGATACGTACAGCTCACATTTGAAAGCACAGTGAACTGAGGACGTTCCCGTTCGTTTCCCCGTTGCATCACGTATTCAGTCCGAGTCTCCCTCCTCCACTCCCACAGCTCCCACCGCAGCAGCCAGCTCCTCCTCGCTGCCTCTCAGCCGATCCCCTGGACAGAAACACACAAGCGATCCCTCAGTCAGTCTGATTCACCATTGATTCATTCATCAAAACAAGAACGTCAGACCACAGGTCCAATTAAACCCAGTGTGGTTATGTTTTTTTATGCGAGAAAATAGATGAGCAGAATTCATTCATTCCTGGTGTCTGAATTTAAAACTAGGAAATATTTATTTACAACAACAGTATCTCAGCTATTGCAGCACATGCTAACTCTAAAACATGTCCTCTTGAAGCTTTTTAAGTACAAGTGAGAAGTGTTGCATACTGGAAAATTAAAAATCAGTATTGTTTTTCCCTGACAGAATCCATCTATTTTTGGACTGCTGCTCACCTATCAGACATCTGAGGTTATCAGAGTCCTTCATAACGTCTGGGAGTCACAGAGCAATTAGCCTAATAATTCACAGTCCTCCCAAACATGGTTATCTTTGCAACATCCTGCGATAAAGAGCGCAAACAAAGTGGCTGATACTAACGGATGAGCTCGGCGATGGCTCTCTGCGTTCGCCTTTCCAGCTTTTCCAGCTTCTTTGCCACATCACGCTTCAGATCCCTGACGATTAAAAGATGGACAACACATGAGTTCTTCATGAATTCTTCAAATATACAGTTTCTTTTATCTTTTAAATTTGACCACAAATGACAATTTTAGGGAATAATATTCTGATGCTGCTAAATAAATTAGATTGCAACCCATCGTCTACAAATCCATGACCAGAAAACGAGAAGAAGAAAGTGCTCAGACGAGACGATAATAGAAATTCTTGTGCTGAATGTAAAATGGAAAACTAATGCAGTACTCCCGTATGGTGATGGTGGCGTCATGCTGCAGGGATACTTTTTACGTATAGCTCATAAAATTCTAGTAGAACACAATGAGGTTTATGATTATAATTGGACAAAATGTGAAAAGTTTCAACAGCTATATTAGTAGATATTGTACAACCTCGATTCAAAACTTTGAAACGGGGCTTACCAGTCAGGCTTCCTTGGTGCAAGATTGGCCAAATCCTAAAGGCAGAAATAAGGTAAATTAGACAACTTAAAATGCTTTGTTAGTGTAAAAAAGATCTAGACGGAAGTAAGTACTCACCACTTCTTCAATTATGGGTTCAGGATTTGCTGCCTCCAGCTGGTCTTTTACTTTATCTTCCACTGCAACCAAAGAACACGATCAGTTTCAGCACAACTCATTTCTGCAGCACCGAGGGCTTGTTTCAAATCCAAAAGTCTCACCTGAAGCTGGTTTGGCTTTAGGTACCTGCCTCTCCTTCAGCTCTTCATCTTCAGGAGTGTAATTCCTCAGTTTCAGCTCTCTGAAAACAGAAAAAAAAACAACAAAACTTTAGTGAACATATTTATAAATGTGACGATCCAGCAGGTGGCAGTGTAAGAAAATTAAAGAACATAAAGGAGCATCTGAAATCCCCACACAGCTGCACATCTAATGTCTTAAAAAAAAAAAAAAAAAAAAAAAAAAAAAAAAAAGGGGGAAAGAAAATAAGCCCCCCTTTTATAACAC